TTTGCCAGGGCCATACTAATTTATCATGTCAACTTCACTATGGGGACTGTTTTCTTTTCAAGGGCCCATGTAAAAAAAAAAAAGAAAAAAAAAAAGAAGAAAAAACCACAACGTGTTGTGTTTCAAAAACTACACATATGAAAAGTTTCAGGCTGCAATATGCCCCCCAAAGAAAATCAAATATAAAGTTCACTGCTTCTTCCTTATCTCCGCATCGTGGGAATCACAGCAAGATTTGAAGATCAGCCACGGTGGTGGTGCTGGACATGGCAGGGACCCTTCCTCATCCCCACCGACCATCCTGCACCTTTGGGCCAAGGTCCTGATTCTGCCTCTGCCTTTTGCGTGCTGCGGTGGTGGCACCTTGGGACAGGAACACCCCTTCATCGTACCAACCCTGCCTCACAGAAAGGGGTCCCAGTCCCCGGGGAGACCAACAGAAACTAATTATGTACATTTTATGTGCACTTGTATGCGTGAATATTGTTAAGTAATAATTGATTACTCTGGCAAGATGAGTTTCAGATGCAGCCACTCTTCCTGATTTTACTTTAGTCTTTGTTATCTGAACTTCTGGTAGCATTTTACAAACTGCAGCACTTGTGTCAGGTGTTGCTAAAGTCTGTGTCACTGTTAGAAATCATTTTGCATCAATTCCCTCAGAAGTTGTCCTGTTCCTTGTAGCTTTTCTGAATATGACTACAGTTTGGCATGGTTTTGTTTTCCTGCAACATGTTAAGTTGTGTAATTGTAAAAGTATGTATAAAACCAAACAGTATTGATGGAGGTTAGGATTTTCAAGGGAGTTTCAGCAAGGCATCCCTGGTGAAAAGCATTCAACTGATTTAAATCTGAATTCCTGTCCCCAGCCCACAGCTTTTAAATCATTTGGGCATGTGACAAAATGTTTGCCCCTGCTGCTGGTGCACTTGGGTAGGATTTGGGTGCTGGGGTCCCTCCGCAAATGCTGTCGGTGATTCTCATTCTGCTCTGCCTGCTCGCAAAGGACTGAGAGCCGCCCTGTCTCCCTGCCTGCCAGGTCCCTCCTGCCCACGGGGCAGCAAGGACCTTTGGCTCTTATTTAGGAGCCCCTTTCCAGGTCCAGGTCTGCGAGGTCAGCCTTGGTGCTGGGGTTTGCATTGCTGGCAGCCCACAGCCTTGTGACTCTGAGGTGGGAACACAAACCCTTGTGATGGGTGGAAGCAGAAGTGCGCCCGCCTTGGTGCAGCGTGCAACCGTGTCCTGTGCGTAGGGGATCCATCGGTCTCCTTTTGTACCAGTACAAAGTGGGTCTGCTGTGCTGGAGCTGGCTGGGGGCTGCATCATGATGCCAAACATGACGGCTGTGAGGTGCAGCCTTGCCTTGGAAACCACCCTGAGGATCCCAGCACCCCCTCACTCAAGCAGTTCTGTATCAGGGGTCACTGCTAATTCGAGCAGTGCCTGGGCTAGCACAGCCTCCAGCTGGGGTGACTGGAAGGCTGCCCACAGTCACCTGCGCTGGGCCTCCACCTCTCCTTTCCTGGGAGCCAGAAGCTTGTCAGCAGTGCGGACAAAACCGGCATTTGCTGCTCCGTGCAGTAAGGGTCGAGGGCCAGGGACGGCGTGCTTGTCCTACAACAAGAGGGGCAGGAGGTTCCTGCCCTGCTTTGGTACAGGCAAAGCCAAGAGCGAGATCAGTGCTCCCCGGCTTTGTCCCTGCCCAGAGCCTGGGCTGAAAAGCTCTTTGCAAAATCTGCTGAGTTCTCTAATAAGGGCAAGTGCTAGTCTTTACAAAGGAGGCTCACTCTTAGTCCTTTTCTAAAGTCCTTTAAAAGTCACAGTATCCTTCACAAAGGCAGTTTGTCCAGGTAAACAGTGTAGGCTGACAATACAGCAGTGAAAGAACCAAATCTAGAAATATTTACCACCTTTTTACTTTCTGCTTCTACCAGGAACCGCTGCATCTCAGCTGAAGAGGCCTCAATGGGTGGAAGGTACATCCATGAGGACACATATATTGCCAGCCCATGCCCATATCCTCTGGGCTGGAGCCACGAGCAGGGACTAGCTGGACTCCCGAGCAGACCTGTGTAGCATGGTGGAGCTTCGTGAACACCTCTGCACACGGATTAAAGGTAAAGTGATTTCCTAATAATTTGTAGATTTTTGTAACAACAGCAGCGAGTTCTTAGGGGTGGGAAACACTTTCTCTTTTGTCTCCAGGGTTTCCACGGTAAGTTTTGTGCAGGGCCAGCTTCTGTCACTAATGGTGCTGGATGCACATAGAGCACTGTACTCATACTGTACTGCAGAGATGAATAACAAGCCTATCAATTGTACTTGCACTTACACCATATTTAATCCTGTTCTGGTTGCTCTGCTATGTATTCATAAGAAAAAAAAAAAAAAAAAAACAAAACGAAAACCAAAAAGGAAACAGAAGCACAGAGCAAGCCAACAGATGTCTACCTGGCTCTTAATTGGATTTTATGTGTCCCCAGTGTAGCAAATACAGCATTATTTACAGCCAGGCTCTAAGAATTAGATACATCTGGAGGAGTGGCGAAACCTGATGCAGGCTACGAGAGCTGATAGATTAACTGCAGTGAAGAGCTGCCCCATTTTCCCCTTCTTATCTCCTCCCGTCCCACCAATGTACCTGTTCCCCCTGGTGTGTCGAATCAAACCAAGATACTGCCCAAGGGAACACTTGTAAAAATGAAAAATACCAGCAAAAAAAAGAGAGTTTCTGCTTTTGTGGAGCTTCATCAGCATTTTCTAATTGTACAGCAATGATGATAATAAAAAGGCTGCCCTCTGCTCTCAGCTATAATTTGGATAATCAACTGAAAGCCATAATGAAACTGTCTGTGATTGCTTTCTGCTGAGCTGCTAGTTCACAGAAACTCATCGTTGGGGAGAATTAAAAGTTATGACCCCTGCTACAGGGATATGCCAGTGTGTTCCACAGGAACACGTGACTTGTCATTCTCTTCTGTATAGCTTTATTACAGGCAAAACTTCCAGCGTAAAGCAAAGAGGTGTAGGAAATGCCTGAGGACTTTGGCGTGCAGTAGCAGCAGTCAGTGCTCCACACACAGGCACAGGAGCCACTGGCCACCGCGCGACAGGCAAGCCAGCTTTTGCCTTTGGGAGGAAGGCAGGAGCTAAGTCACACTTCGAGCCTTTGCTTTCTGGGCTCTGGATGCAGTTGGGGGTATTTTGGGTGCGTGAGATTTTGGGTGCTGGCGTTCCCTAGCACCAGGCCTGAATGTGAGCTGTCCCCGTCTGTGCTGTGGGTATGCCTTCCCTAGCAAATCTAGTGCTCCATGTGAGTACTTTGGTCCAAATTGCCCTTTCATCCCTATCTCCTGAGGAGGAGTGAGGATCTCCTGTGCAAGGGCTTGGGAGCAGCCTTCCTCCTTGGCCAGAATAAGGGCGCTGCCATAGCGGGTGCAGCCTGTGACCCCAAATCCGGCTTCTGAAGCAGGTCATTTCTCCTGCATGTTCTGGATGTGCAGTGGGCTTCAGGAGCAGTGGAAGCTACTGAAAACCGGGCTGGTAGTTCAGGTGTTTGCCAGCGCAGGGCTCCAAATCCCTTAGGTCAGGCAGCTGAGCGTGACCACCACCGAAGCTCCGGCCGGAGCCCACCTTTCCCAGAGCGCCGGGAAAGGGACCTCTGCCCCGGGAAGGGTCTCTGGGAAGGTCCTGCCGCCCG